GAGAACTCATCCAGAACTACCATGAAAGATATATGATAGATATAATGTATGAAGCTGGTGAAAACAAAACTGCGCAGCTTATGCAAGGAGGATCGGTTGTCAGACCTTCTTTTGTTGGCAATCGAGAAGGATGTGCCAATCATTCACAGTGAGGTTATTAACATTTTTAAAGACATGGCTAACAGAAAACTGCTGCTGTGAACAAAAGAGAACAAAAATAGCAAAAATGCTTAAAAGTTGGAAATTTGTTTTTAAACAGTTAAATCACCATGACGGAAAATAAGTTTTTGGATCATAATCTTGGATTTAGTTTGGGGGAAAAAGAAAGGCAAGAGACTGAAATAAATAAGACATTGACCTTCACTCAACACAGAAAAGATGAGACAATGAGGAAAAAAAGAAAAGAGAAACTGACAAGAAAAAACGAAGAGGAAAGATTGAAGAAAATGTATTTAGGTACTTACAAAATACACTAAGACACAAACAGAGTAGGCTTTTCTCATGGTGACATGCATTAATAAAATGTTTGCTTTTGTTCTTTTTTTTCTGCAGTTCCACGTTAAAGTTTGATGCAGCAGCTCTGCTTTTCTGAATGGACCGTCTCCATCTCCACTGTCAGTACAGCAAACCAGGCAGACATTCTTTTTATAGATTACAGTACACTAAAAGGTTGCATTTTTAACAGTTTAATTCTGTAAAGACAAAATATTTCTGGTGGTCCAGCTCTGACCTTGGCTTGATTGATTGGCTAAATTGCAGGTTTGAATATTGTAATACTTTCCTATAACAAAACAGACCTGCAGAAAGAAATTACTATTAAAATATTTTACATATGCATAGTTCTATGTTCTATGTAGAGATTTCCCTTGGCTTTGATTGTATGTCTCACAATTTTGTAATTTATCATTGTTCATTAAACTCTGAAAGCTATGTGACTTTGTTAATATTCTGTCCAAAAATGCGATAAGATGTGCCCTTTTTTTTTTTGAGCACCTGCCCCTTTAGTGGTCTCTGCACGGCCCTGCTGCTTAGTGAATAAACAGTAAAATTGCACACAATTTTAGTATTGCACCTGCATACAAAACTACAAAGCAGATAAACACCATTGCATGTCCTGTGCAACTATACAGGCATAGATAACTATAGGCTCAAGGTAAACAATGATTTAATAATTACTTTGACTTGTTGAAACTTTGAATGTTACATTTTGCCTTGGGTTTAACCATCCCAAATTTCAAATACTTCCATTTTTTTTTTTTTTAGTTTTTACACCACTAGTGGGTCGTTTGTTTGGACAGCTGGATGAGAGGAAAAGAGGTATAAGAGAGGGGGAAAGACATGCGGCAAAGGACCACAGGTTGGATTCAAACTCAGCTCAGCCGAGTTAAGGACTAAAGGCTGATTTATACTTCAAAACTAGGAAGTCTGCATAGGTGTTGTGGTGAACGCAGAGACTTCCCTACCCCCTCCGCAGACACTCTGGTGCACCTCTCCCAAATTCTGATTGGTCAAATCTACATCTGCTCTACGCTATGCATATTTCCTGTTTGGTACCTTACCGACTTATTTTGTTTGTAAGACTGCCATTGTGGAAAACGACTTGTGAATTTGGACCAGCTAGAAGAGCGAGGTGCATGAGAACTCTGGGAAAATTTTTCCACCTGGACCCCCACTATTTTTCACCCTCATGTCCCTCCATTGCCGCACAAACTTGCCCCCATTTCCTCACCACCTTGCACATATTTAGATTCACAGCTAGTTCATGATTTTCACGTTTTGCATTGTGGTGTGGAATAAACATAGCACAGACCGGGCTTCAATATTCAGCATAAATCAAAAATGTCTGCATCATACCTTTGACATCTCACTGCAACACACTGCTGCTGGAGTATAACCAGCCCTTAAGGCCTGGGTCGTGTGCACTAACCACTGCGAGACAGAAGGACACCTCAATACTGCCATATTTTTAGGTTGCCAGAGCTTGTTAAACATTTAAAATTTCATCAATCACCAAGTAAAAAAATTTCATGGGATAATAATGTTTTTATCGGTTGTACATTAGTATCACATGTTAGCCTTTAATCATTAGACCAGTATGAAACACTGTGTGATTTGTACTGTTAGTTTATTGGAGCAATATTGATGTGGGAAATTGAAGGTTAGAATAAAAACCACCAGTGACTGGGTTTAAACTCTGCTTAATAACTTCTTTCAAGTAGTGAAAGAAATATGGAGTCTGATAAAAAAAAACATAAAAACATACAGTTGAGTGTGTTCACTAGAGGTCACACCCAAACGCCTATATTGAGAAGTTTCAAGCTGTAAAAAATATCAATTACAGTATAAAAATTATGTTAGTAATAAATTAATTAGCTTAATAAGACATTTTGATCTATCAGCTCTAAAGCTTTGTGGCTAAAGGCAAGTGGATTTGCGGACTTGGATGGAGTTATAAATAACCATAGTGAAGAAAAAAATGGAGACGGGATTTACTGGAAGAAGATACTGGACTTTCAGCGAGCCATTCAAAACTCATTTGTGTATGTTTTCATTTTCAAAAATCCAGTAACGATATGATCTGGTCTCATTTCAATTCCATTGAGAGGATGCAAATTATCCTTCTACAAATATAAATATACATATATATATATCTATATATACACTTTGCTTTACAGCTTATGTTAAAAGAAAAGTGCACCATGAAATTAATTTGCTTTCTTTATTTCAAGTTTGTCATTTTGTCATCTTAGCTAAAAGTAACTTGATAACTTTGAATTAAATTGAAAATGTGAACTGGTGACTGAGTCGTTTCCTGCACACTTTTATTCAGGAATCACCACAGCAGGACATTAAAGCTTCTGTCAGATGCCCTTTTTGACATAACCAAGATTCCGACCAAGGTCTTACATTTCAAAGATATGGACTTAATTTGGAGTATATATGAAATGTATTCATTTGCTTAATCAGAAACCAATAACCTTAAGTTCATTGATTCTTGACCTTCCTTGACTTTGAGAAGCATTGAGGGGCTTCTGACCACCTTCTCCTCTCATCATATGGGTCTCATGACATTGCAGATATTTTCAGCTTTAACTTCAACAAGTTAGGGTGAACATGTTTAAAGTTAACAACCTAACACAAGAATATTTTTAATTTAATTCCTTTTTATGATTATGTTTAACAAAACAAACAAACAGAAATGCAGGAAAGCTGACCTCAGGAAAACACCCTTTCCTCAATACTTACATAGTCAGAATATCATGCTGTTCTAGATGTGGCTGTGTGGTAACTTTCAAACACTCTTCCTTTGGTCCAAAATTATTATCTCAGTTTTGTTTTGATTCAGGTGAAGAAAATGATGTCACATCAATGCGCTGATTCCTTAATGCATTTAACCAGTGCTTGAATGCGTTCATAGTCACTTGATGGAATTGTAATGTATAGCTGTGTGTTGTCTTCATTGCTATGGTAACTTATCATTTTGTTCAATAAAATCTGAGTTAGGAGGAACATGTACTGTAGTTGCCTAGTGACGCAAATGTCATTTAAGAAGAATTTAAACCAATCCAGTGCTGTACTAGAAAGGCATGAGGAGTTGTAGAAAACTAAGACAGAGGTAATTCTTGCAAGGAAGGCTCAAGTATATTTTTACCTCTGCAGGCGGAGAGAAAAAGCTCTGACTGGGGCAAGCTTAGTACATACATTTTTACAACATATCCCAACACACACTCGCACCCCACCCCACCAAGCATATTTCCTGTTAGGTTGATATAACTTTCACTAGCCAGGTGTAGCATCTCACAACAGCTGTCCTCCTGTTCATGCCATGGGGGAGGCTGAGGGAGCCTTAAGCACTTATCTTTTATCTCTTCCTTTGGAGCCTTGCATGTAGGGACATCCACACACACCTTCTTACAGGCTCAAACTCCTCATTATTTTATTTCACAGGCTGACCATATTTAAGATTCTCTGATAAAATTGAGTCATCATCACTGTTGAATGCTGCACTGAGGTCCGTGAAAAACAGCAGTGTGCTTCTTTTACAGTCTGCATTTAAATAGACGACACTAAACACCTTGACAAGGACAGTCTCTGTGGTGTTGATGTCGGAAGGCTGAAATGAAAACAAAGTGGTTTGTAACACAAGATTGTTGTTCATTGTTTGTGTAAAACAATGAGCAAGAAGAAGCTTAGTAAGTGTGTAATTTATTTTAGTTTTTTAGAGTTGTAGATTAAGACAACCTGCTACCAATAATTATGTCTAGGGTTTTAAAGGCAGTAAACAAAAGTTTTAAATTTTTTCCTCTTTATTTCAGTTCTTCCAACTTCATATTTATTTTACAGGTATTCAAAAAAACTGTACACGCATTATTCTATTATTACAACACAGTCATTTAAAAATAAAAGACAAGGCAGGTAGATGAAATAGTTTAAATGAGCAACATCAGTTTCACTTTTTGAATCAATACATAACTTCCTTCTACCATCCAGTCGTTTGGATAGCCGTGCCTCAACATTAGTGGTTAGATTTATCATTAAAAGTCCATTAGCCCACCTGCTTCTTGTATTAAATGTGCTGGCCTTTTTTTACCTAGCCCTTCTAGCTGTAACTTGCAAGGAGGTAAAACCAAACAAACATCTTTCTGTTGAATGCAGAAGCTTTCCCCGACTAAAGACTCTAATAGGAATTTATGACCTCGGACCTGATGAAACTAATTGATATTTTCCAGCTAAACTAAAAACAAACACTAAGATGTGTAGTTTATCTGGAGCAGATCCAAAGGCACATTAAAACTACTTTTGTGTTTGTTAGGAATAGAGTAATAGAAACTGTATTAGGAGTAGAGATGGCAATTTAAAAACTAAAAAGGCATTTGCTGTATATTACAACCGAAGGTTTTAGTGCTTCAGCACAATCCTGTAGGAAAACAAGTGGAATTCGATACATTGCAGAAAAGCTCCAAAAAAATAAAAAGGGAATAAGGGATAGGTTTAAAATAAAAAGGGAATAAGGGATAGGTTTTATTGGGTGGATTGTCCTCCTCTCCATAGGAACTCCTCAGGCACAGGTGTGTCTTTAACCAATTGAGGTTTTTTCTTGGGTGGTCAGGGATTTTATGGCTTCTGACCGTACCTGAAATAAATAGTTAATTTAGTGTATTGCTTTGCAAAATATTTAGGAAGTAAGAACATTTTTCTTTTTTTTTTTTTGTATACCAAATATTGTAAAACTTATTAGTTTCATAACTGGCTGTTATCAATCCAAAATATCTAAAAATATTTAATTCTAAATGATTTTAGAATAAGGCCATCAGAGACATACGCACCCTCTTGTCCAACAGTGTTCCAAACACCCAAATGAAGCAACCCTATATGAACACACAAGGATTTGGAGAAAAAAATAAGCTTTTTCCAACCTTACATTGAAAAGTAAGGGATACAAGAACATGACATTGTTTTTACCTGTAGTGAGTTGAGTAATGAAAAAGCAAAATGAATCCCCTTGTTTGTTGGAGCAATTATGGTTCCGATTCCCAAAATCCAGGTCAGTCCAAAAAATGGTGTGAGCACAGCCAAACTCCTGGCAATCACCACCAGAACATGCTGCTCCTGTGCTTGTGCTGTATTCCTCTTCACTCTTCTGTTTAACATTTTGAATATCACTACAAGCAAGATTATAAAATTTATGAAAACGATGACAAGTGCAGGAACCAGAAATGCCAGCAGGGCTTTGGAGTCATCCCAGTTGAGCCAACAGGCATGATTTGCTCTTATGTAGTTATATAAGGGCAAAGTCACAGCCATGGTTGTCACTGCAATGATTAAGGGTGCACCATATCCCAAGACAAACCCACTAACAAGCATAGACGTTTTTGAAAACCCCCCCTCAAAGACCAGGACAGTACGGTAGAGCAACAGTAGACCTGTGGCTAACATCCAGAAGAACATGGAAAGGTAGAAAAAATGGATAAAGAAGGTAGCTGCTGCACATGAAGGAGGGTTTTTCTTCTCTGCACCTGATAAAGATCCTCCTACAATGAACCAAATGTTTGCTATCAGGAGAGAAACTGCAATGTTAACGATAAAAACATGGCGTAGAAATGCGGTTGTGTTGGTACTTATTTTTTTCCATATCAGAGCTTCAGTAATAAGACATATAACCAAAGAACCTATGGATATGCCAACCCCAATGAATGTTATGTCCTCCAATTCAGAGTCTTTAAAACTATCAGAGGACATGAGGATGGAGAAGCAGGTGAGGTGGTTGCAGATGCAGCTAATGGTTTCGTTGTTTTGGGATTGCACAGAACAACCCTGGTTGCTCCATCCTCCAAGACCATCAAAGAGGTCGAAATCCCAGAAAACACATTGTGGATCTTTTAAAGTATCATTTAGAATTTCTGAGATTATTGATATATTTTTAATTTTGGCTCTTGTCTCAACAAGCAAAACCTTTCCATTGATAACCATGAAACCAGAGTTTTCTTTATCCCTTGGTGGAAGCACATTATCCATGGAAGCAAATAAGATTGTGGTGATAAAATTATCTTTTTTATCAGTCTCTGGTATGCTTATTGTCACTGATGAATTAAGGCGATCATAGAAAGGGTCTGTCAACTCCGTTTTCTTTAACAGAATAAAAGGAGTCTCGATTGTTACAGATTCATTGACAAGAAGGGAGGATACTGTCTCAAATAGTTTTAAGAAGGAGGAGCTAGGGCTTTCTTTTTTGCTGTTGTTCTCTGTCCCTGAGTTTGGTTTGTCATTTAGGATATCCCAAGAATTCTTTGCTTCATCAGAGGTGAGAAGACCAGCAGTTACTAGAATGTGCTGTATCAAAAAAAAAAACAAAAAAAAAACATACATATTAGATGTAAATATTTATACCTTCAAAAATGGAAATAACATACAAGTTACCCTACCTCTGTTGATTTTTGATTAATTGGCAAAGACAACTCTGAGGATGTATCAGCTACATTGTTAAGGATTGTAACAATGGAACTTATAGATGCTGGTGTTTTAGTAACTTTTTCAGTCGTGCCAACGGTCACATTTCTGAGTTCCTCCAAGAAATTTGGCATTGTTGAGATATTTAGTTCCTGTTGCATTTGCAGAAAAAAACAACTAATGTGATGATTTGCATTCAGATTACACTTTAAGGTTTTGAACTTCATAATGTCTTATTTCATTGCATTATCTACATTCTGAACTAGAAATGTTACTGGAAATATCATCTAGCTTTAATTTTTCTCTTAGAGTTGTGCCTTTGATATAAAACCCCCAATCACCCCCAATGTCTGAGTATATCCATCCACCCTTTCTTTAATTATGTTAGGTCTGCCACAATATGCTAAATAAATGCTTTATATTCATAACAGATTATGCCTCAGGTTGTTTCAAAAAGAATTGCTATTTTTATTGTCTTGTTATATGAAAGTGCACCAAGGTTACTCAGTTTTAGTGCATAACTTATTTTTCTTATTGAAAAAAAATTCTATTTAAAAGCCTTTTTAAAAGTTTTGTATTACAACTTTGTCTGACTGCTCAGCCAGAAATCTTATAGGTTTATGGTTTGATAATATATATTTGAAAATCAAACATTTGTGAAATTCAGTCGGCTGTCATGGGCAAATCTCTCAGTGGGCAAACAAGGAATCTTCTGCTTCTTCCACTCAGATGAAAACACAGAAGCATGGCGGAGGTGCGTGTGAAATGGCGTTCTTTCCATAAAATTGACAGACCATGCTCAGCCATGTCTTTGTCCATATACGTCGTCGCCTTTTCTTTTTAGGACTTTTAGCACACAAAATTGCTAAAAGGACACTCAGGACACTTGGAATACATTGGACGAGCAGTATGGAGGAATATTGACACGTTTTTTGTGGACTTTTATGGACCTTTCTGTCTCGGTCACCATAGACCTCCATTATTTGAATATCAGCAGACAGCAAGAAGCCTCCCAGATCTCCAGATGCATTTGAGATATCAAAAAAGTACTCCAGAGTGTTGTTCAGCATGGGGGTGAGTAGAAAATGAAGGCTAATCATGTTTTGGGTGTACTATTCCTTTAACATGAGTGATTTACCATAGATTTATTGAGGAGGTCAAGAACAACTGTAAGGACACAGTTGTCTTCTTCATTTCCATATTCACCATTTGCCATACAAACTGCTGTTTTTTGTCCCTCCATGTTATCATCACAGGGTATCTCCACCTTCTGGCCTTCGACCACACAAATATAATCTATAGAGGAAAAAAAAATATTAAGCTAAAAGGAAAAATTTAAAACTTTCTCTAAATCTCTAAGAAGATTAGAAAATTATTTCACTGAAATGTTTTATGACATGACCATATAAAATTCTCTTACAATCGGCACAAATTTATGTTGAGGCATAAACCCGCACTCCTCACAAACTTTACACACCAAGAGGAACGTTATCACGTCAGGAGATGACGCCATTTTTGTACATTCATCTTATTTGAATGCTTGTCAGTTTTTAAATGACATTGGTTCAATTTGTGTAACTGTTTTTCTATTGTTAAATCATTTACACCACATTCAAATGGGGTCTTAATGCCTTTTGTTAGGCGCCATGGCAGAAAATTAGTTAAAGTTTAAGGCCCTTCATGCGAATCTCGCCAGGAGTAACAAGCTATAGAAGTTTGAACAACTACTTGATTATAACCTGTAATTTTTCCTTTCCAATGCCTGTTAATAATGGTTTCAGCCTTTCCTATAAATAGGGAACTAGATAAGATCTTATTATAACTGTACCAACCCAGTCAGCATTAGTGCTGACTGGGAACTGTATGTCTGTGAGCCTTTAGGGGCCACTTGGAGTCTATGAACAACCCAAATTTTGCCTGCAGGTGTGGACTGTAATGCAGACAGCCAGTCAGACATGCAAATATAATGATGCAGTTAGGAAAGATCTATAGATTTCTCCTTTTGGACAGTTTATCTCTCAGGATTTGTAAGGACACCAAAAATATATGGTCATAATGTGAAATATTGATAGAGACAGTATGAAATAAAATAATATATATACATACCTTTAGCCTGTTCACATGTATAGGTTATGGAATTGATGCTGCTGTTAAAATTAACATATAGTGGTTTACTCCCTTGCGTTTTGTTGGTTTCCTCCGCTATTTCGACAAACATAGAACACACATGTATGAGTCTGGACATTAAATATAAAACCTTTTTTTTATTAATCAATGCATACATAAAATGAGTTTGCAGATCCTTTATTCAATGGTTGTCTGCTATTTATTCTTTCCCAAAACTGTTATGTTATTTTATGAAACCCACAAGTAGACACTAAGGCTACGTTCACACTGCAGCCTGAAGTGACCCAATTCCGATTTTTTTGCCCATATGTGACCTGTATCTGATCTTTTTATGACAGTCGGAACGACACAGATCGGATTTTTTCAAATGCGACCTAGGCCACTTGGATATGTGGTCCTGAATCCGATACATATCTGATCTTTTCAAATGCGACCTGTGTCTGTACGGCCAGGTCGCATTCATCCGACCTACACGTCATTGATACTTGACAAATGTTACTAAACGTTACTAATCTGCGTCCTACTAAGCGGAGGCGGGAAAAACTAACAACCATGGCGGAAGATAACACAGAGAGCAGTCAATGGAGAGAAAGTGAGGTTGCTGACTTAATTCATATTTGGAAAGATAGCTCGATTCAGACCAAACTCGAAGGGTCTTACCGGAACCGGGGGAGGGTCTTTCTTTTTGATCTTCTTAAAAAGAATTCGTTCGTAATGTGCCTGCTCCTGTTGGAGAAGAACTTAAAGAACGCAATATACAATATTACGAGTCGTGCTTACTTCCGCAAACACTGAGGACGCTTGCTACATGTGACGTCATCTCGTCCTCGAGTGCGCATGCGGGACACTTCGGTTGAACGCTTTCAGTTCACACAGTAGATCACATACAAGTCGCATATACTTGGAAGTGTGAACGGACACGCAAAAAAATCCGATTTCACAAAAAAATCGGATTTGAGCATTAAGGCCTGCAGTGTGAACGTAGCCTAAGACCATATTTCATGTCAGTCTACTTTAGGGTCTGATTGGCTGAGGAATATATGCCCCTCCCCTTAGGATCCACCTGGACCCTCCACAGATGTTTGTGTGCAAACCAGATTGTTATCACCATGGTTACTGTTGTAGTTGTGGACTATATCACATAACATTTAGAGAGTTGCACACAATTACACAGCAGATAAATATAATGACGCAGTTAGAAGAGATCTGCAGTTTTCTTCTTTTACACGGTTTGTCTCTTAAAATTTCCTAGGACACAAAAATTCAATTTAAATGACAAATTTAGAGTCTTGAATGTAAAAACATATATACCTGTATGCTGTTCACATTCACAGATGTTTGTGGAATTGACGTTGCTGTCAAACGTGCGGAATAGTTCTGTGCTGCTAGTGGTGCTTTGCGCTATGTGGCAAGGATGTCCAGATATTTCCACAAACACATAAGACAGTGGGGCGTTACATTCGATACAATATTTTCCTTTTTGATTGATTATTAATTCATTTGGCAAATTATCTGTCTTCTATCTTAGTCTCACCATTTGAAATCACCTGCAGAACAATAAAACCACCATATTAGTCTTGATGTAATATGCAGGCTTTGTACTGTACATGGTGTGGTTACTTGTTAAGTGTTGTTTAATTGTAATGTTATACAACAGAAAACACACATTAAAAAAAATGATATTTACCTGAAATATGCACACAGCTCCAATCAGAGGTACAAACATCTTGGTCCACATTTTGAATCTGACCAAAAAATAAAACAAAACAAAACAAAAAACTAGACATTGAATCCTTGACCTCAATTTATCCCTGCAGAGCCTTTTTACATTTTATGGTTTGCACTGCTGATTACAATGCAGCCAATATAAAGATTTCTGTCAAATTCCTTGTTTGTTCACACAAACTAGGTATACTGTAGGACGTTTAGTCTGATGTACGTCTATTAACATATATGTTACTTTTTCCTTTGCTGCTCACTGTCATTGCTTCAGTTAGTTTTTCATAACCAAACCCCTTTTATTACTTCCTCATTTGTTGAATTGTAGAATTATAACAGGGTGCTGTTTTTAGAACAAATGCAAATGTCGATGCCATATTCTGAATTTTTCCAGCAATGTCTTTTAGAAGTGGATTTCTTGGGCTGTTACTAATACCTGTGTCATTTTATGCAATATATACCGATAAAAATACTGACATGTTATATGTAACAGTATTATTCATCTATCCATGTTGCATTTGTTTTAAATTCCCATTCCATGTTGCTTAGTGATTAGAAAAAAAACTGCTGACCTAATCAGCAGCTTCCTTTTCACTGTACATCTTATGTAAACATTAAAGTTTACAGCGTAAACTTTAATGTTTAATTAACAGGATCTGGAACTTATGGAACCTGTGAACTGGACAGTGAAATACAACTTTCTGTAAAACATTATCTGAAATTTAAGACTAATCAAACCTAAATTACAGCTTGTAATTTCCTAATAGTGATCTTGTTCACATTGGTTATTATGTTGATGTTAAATATTTGTGGGTTTTTCCGAAGTGTACTACATCTGTTTTTGTCTTTTTTTTCTCTTTGTTGTATGAATTACAGTGCTACTTCTGATTAATGTAAGTAGAGATCCCTGTTATCTAACTTATTTTTCTTTTTGTTTTTTACTTTCCATCCTTTATAAGTTGCATCTATGAAGAAAGGGAACAAAAACAATATCAAAAAGACAAGCAATGTCCTACCTTTACTTAGTATCACTGTTCCGGTGCAGAAAAGAGCCTAAATAATTGCCTTTTGCAGCAGTAAAGCAACGTTTTCACCATGCCCTCATATCCATCAAAGGCAGAATCCTAGCTAATGACCAAACATTTTTTCAAACACTGAGCTATGTTGGACAAGGCATATTTGTCTTGGTGAAGGGTGGTGCCAAGATACCTGGGAATTATGAAAGAGTTGAAGTATACTGTTGCGTTGGAGCTTCCTGTGGATATTTCATTTGCATACATGGCTTTTCTCCAGCTGGTAGATGTAGGGCAATACCAGAACCATCTAGCATAAGTGCAGGCTCTTATAGGCCTACAACAATACATTCAACAACTTATGAAATGTCACCTTATATGCTTACTAGTAATATAACATGTTTGAATTATGGAGATGTGAAAAATAAAAATGACATAACTTTTTGGTCAGTCCTGAAATGCAAGTGAAACCTGCTACTGTATGTTTGGAAGTGTTTGAGAATCCAGTTTTTACATAAGCAAATATTTATTTCCTGCTTCACCTGCACTTGTCTGCTGCAGCAAATGGAGATAAACAGGAAAATGAATGTCATCATAGAATGAATGAGTAACCAGAGAAAAAAGCAGCAGTCCAACAAATAAATAAAATCCTGAAACTAGAAAGGCAAAACAAACGTTTTGAGTTAGTTCTTAATATCTACTGTTGCTTGCAGTAAGACCGACATATTATTGTTTTAGAAAGGAAATGAATTTCTGACTTCAGAACTGGAAAACTACAGCCTTTGAGCTTTAAATATGCGTCAGTACACCCTCCAGATGTCCATTTCACCACATTGATGGTTTACATAGAGCCATGTTTATCATATTTTACTGATGTAGTTTAAAAAGTTTCTTTTAATTATTGTGTTTGTGTTTTATATTATTTTAATGTTTAATGTAGTGAATTTGCTTTGGTAAAATTATTCAAAATATATTCTTGCCTGGTTGCCATGGTGAAGTAGCTGAACAAACGTTACTTTGCTCTCCTTATTTGCATCATATTTAGAAGGCATATTCTGTTGATGTCTATAAATTGGACTTTGAATGCATCTTAGTTTGTAAAGATGAAAATTATAAGACAGTTTCTTTAGGTCTCGTTTCTGCCCTGCGACAGATTGACCAGGGTGTTCCCCACCTTGCACTAGCAGTGTATCATTGTAAAACAACAGACTATAAAGAAAACTCTATACAAATATTTATATACTTTTTTTATTTAACCTTACATTTTAACGGGATCAATATATAGTTTGCTTGCAAAATGATTAAATTAAACTTAAGAGCAAGAGAGATGCAGCATTTTAGCCTTTAAATATCCTGTCAGCACAACATATTTCACCAAACCAGTGCTTTTGTTGAGTTGGGCTGTGGTTATACATTTTTGTAGGTCGAGCCCCGGCACCTACTGCCACCTCAAAAAGACAATTTAAATAATAAGCTAACTTTATTTGTTGAAAAAGAAATTGAGGAGAACAATAAATATTTATCAAGACTTTGTCAGTTATACTGTACAAATGTAATATTAACTTAAAGTCATAACTTTAAGTAATAACTTTGTTGTTTGTGGTCTTCAGTTATTTTAAACTGAAGTGTTTGCAAATCAAAATGAATTTGTATAAAGGAATAAGAGGAATTTATATTAAAAAAATGTGGTTGTTTCAACATGGCCAGGTTTATTAAACTTAATACATTGATAGTTACATTTTCTGGGTTTTTTTTCTCTGTTTTTCATATTCACTAACTCTATATTGCATATTATCTGTTTTAATTGTGTAAATCAGGCCTCTCTGGGAAGAAGAGCTCCTGTTTTAGCTGTATTACCAGCATGAAAACAAATGTTGCAACCACAAAACTAGTAAAACTAGTCCAACACTAAAGAAATAGTGGCATTAATCTTAGAAAAAGCTGTTTATGAAGTTTTAGACATCTTGTACAAAAGACAAAAACATCCTAATTTATTAAAGAATAGAGCTTTGTAGCTATTGTGATGGTTTTGTACTAATTCTTGATGGACTGACTTCAGCCTCAGTCCAGTGCTTGTTAAACTCACCCAAACTCTTGAAGAAATTTTGCTTGAATATCCACAAAAGGCTGCATTTATACCTGTTGATATTGCTCCTTTTCTACCACATTTTTCTCTATGAATATGCTGGGATACAGCACTCTGTATGGGATTCTTCTCCAGTGACCTCTTGCTGTTTATACCTGTTATGGAGGATTTAATTTCATTGTCTTCTGGACACCTACCAAAATGTCTGGTGGAATATTTACAATCTAAGGGAGCCTTTGTGTGATTTTGAGTTGACTAACTAATAAGGGTGTTGTGCCATATGCCATGATCATGGTTTTTGGACATTGGGAACCAGTGTCCATATTTAATCTTGACAGGATGACCAGAGGAGAACACACAGTTTTGGTGAATAACAGCCCCCCGTTTCAGCCAAGGCCTCCACAGGGAAGTCACATGGCAGCCCACAGAGGTGTGATCAACCCATCGCCACAACCAACCTCAAACCACTTCACTTCACTTAGGCAGGCATCGCCAAAGTCGGTCGTAGAGGGCTGCTGTCCTGCAGGTTTTAGAGGTTTCCCTGAAGTCGAGCAACAGCCTGTTAATTAGCTTTACATAAAATCAGCTATGTTGGAGCACTAAGGGTTTAAACACTGATATAACATTAGTGTTTATGTGTTCCTCAGATGCTCATTACATTTCCATTACTAAGTATGACCAAGAGTCATTTAGTGAAATCCTGATGTCTGTTCGCTGCTAGCTATTTCAAAGAGGGTAAAGAATCACTTAACTAAAGGTTATTGGTTCTTAATTAAGCAAACCATTTAATAAAACATTATTTGGCCAAATAATGAGCTTGAGTGCAGTGAAGAGTGGGTACTCTGTAAACCAGTTGCAGACCAAAGCAGCCCTATGGAAACTAACAATTGTTCTTCATGATGACGTATCGGGTCTCCTCTTCCTCTGCCTCCTCTAATTCTTACTCTTCCTGCTCCCTCCATTGTACTCCGCACAGACAGCTCACCTGTGGCTTATTTATGGTGCCTAGGTGCCTAATTATTTAAAGCAGCTTTAACATCTGACAGTGCACCAGACAGTTGGCAAAATAGTGTCAATAATAGCCATATGTGTGTATAGTTTTGCTAGGAGTGTGTTGATCATTTGGAAATTGAGTGTAAAGCTACAGTATTAGTTGTGTTTATAGTTCCACAAAAACAGTGCTGTACAGTGGATTGTACCTACAGTTTTAAAAAGTGTGTGTTAAAAAATTGCAAACTGGAAAGCAGTGTTTAAGCTTTTAGTTTGCAAAGTCAGTGAGTGGTTTTCCTATAAGTATTATTAGTTTTAGAAATGTTGCCATAAAAATTACAGTTAGGGTTTAAGCAAAACAAACTATTACTGAGGAGGTGTGGTTGAAACTGTTGCTGTGTGTGATGACATTTTATGAGGTCTTTGATCAGCTGTTACAAAAAACATAATGATCCAAGTTGAGACTAAATCAGCCAGTCATAGGATATCGACTAAATTGAACAACCTGTAATCTATGATGATTAAAAGAATTAAATGAATCATGAAATGGCACCAAAATATTTGAACATTGTAACGAGCAGGGACTGGACCCAGAATTCAAACCAGCACAGGTCAGTCACGTTTGAAACAAGCTTTATTTAAAAATAACTCAAAAGCAGGGGTTCGGGGGTGCGCTGCTCGCTATAAAGCAGGAAACCTCCTGTGGCAGAGACAACAGGTTAGTGTTTAGCTGATGGTAACGGACTAGAGTGAGAAAAGCTGCATCACTAACCTGATTGCGGGGCTTCTGAGTCTGAGGAACCAACTTCATGTCGAAGAGCCGGTCTGGTTATGGGATCCGACTTGGTCCAGGGCTTTAGGGGGTTACTGTTTGTGCGGCCAACAGGCAGGCAGACACTCTGTTTAGGGTTATCCAGGGATTTTTTCAAGAGAGATCTGGGGTCTAAACACAGAGAGACAGATATCCAGCGGCAGTACAGGTAGGGTTATAAGAGAGAAGAGATCCAAGTCAGGTCCAGATCTGTTAACAGGCAGGCACGGAGATTTCACAAGGGTTAGTGGGGAAATCCGGTACTCACAAGCAAACAGGGTCAGTAGTTTCTCGAGAAGGCTTCACTGGGTCAGGGTGGTAGGCAGGTCCAAGAAAAGAATTGGGTCAGGTAACAGACAGGCAATCAGAATAGGAATAGGTAACTTGCCTAGGTGAGTACAATTAGTTATCTGACTTTTGCCAAAGACCACTGTCACACATCTGTTTGCTATTATCATAGTAATACCGTTACCTGGATTCTTAGGTTGAATAAAAGAAACATTATTTCAAGTGTAGTTGTCTGTGAATATTTATACAGAAATGACCAATTGGTTAATGATTAATAACTAACCAAGTTATTGACATTTACTAATAACGGAGACAACTTGGATTTTAAAGCCGATCCAAAATGTCCAATCACAAAGCAAAGCATGGATAACACCTGGTAAGTAAGCAAATTATCAGTTACAATAATTTAACTAATTATCAGATACAGGTTGCATATGGGCAAAAAAATCGGATCTGGGTCACATCAGGCTGCTGTGTAAGCTTAGCTGAGATTCTCCTTAATTTATCTTGTTCTAACTTTTAATCAGATCAATTCAGATACCCTTTTTTACTCTTTCCTTACTTGGTTCTCACAGCTGTGACTAATCTGTATAATGCTAATTTACAACACAATAATTTAGAAAAATCACAATAGTTTATAAAACAGATTCTCCTAAAACACATTAGTTTGTTTTAGTGATGCTTATGATACACCAATAATCCAGGCATTTCATTTGATTGCTGTTTTTGTAAGCCTTTTAATAATAAAAAAATCTACCTAATTAAAATATGCATGATCTACAATAAAATTAGTTGTTTATAGGTGTTACCATACAGTTAAACTTTTAAAACGGTTTATTGGTAAACAGGTCATCACTGTATAATTACACTGAAAGTAATGGCAATACTAAAAATAAATAGTTTGGGAATTGAAACTCTTGGATTGAGAGATGATTGTAATGTTTTCATTAACTATAGCTCTATGGATACTTTGCAAACTTGCTGTCACTGTTAAGTCACATTAAAGTTTGTTTTGTTTCTTTAAAACATCAGGGACCTTGGTTGAAAGTCAGACATGATGATGTCTAATGATGTAGGGTGTGAGTGTTGTGAGAAAAAGGGTAGCTTAGGGATTCAGGAACCATTGCACCTGATCTTCACACCTTTAATTGAACCCCATTCACCTTGAGACTTAATTGTAAACACATTTTCTATAATTCTAACACAGTCCCAATGCTTTTATTTTAACTGATATCAAAAGCTATTGTGCAAAAACAATGGCTTCCTAAATGTTTTTTTTTTTTTTCTGTTACTCCTTCAATTGTGTCATTTAACTTACTGTTTCATCTTCCACACAAGCTCGTGCTCACCCTCCCCCGGTGAGATGAGATTCCACGTCCCCAAAGCCAGTTGAAGTGCCTGTGGATTCGGTGACCGAGGCCTTTGCCTCTGATTGCTGCCCAATACTATCTGCTGTAGCTCCTCATGGTTCCTCCTGCAAGTCGAGGGCCCAATGAAGAAGTGCTCCACATGCTGAGAACTTCAACCTCAGGCCTGATTCCAGGGTGGGATCCTGGATCTGCTGCACTGGCTGACATACGTCATGCACCTTGATTTCTTTGTCTTCATGGTTTAAACTGCTCTATGTCTGTGTCATGATTTTCTTAAGAGATCTGACCCACATGCAATAAACCACTCAGAGAACCAGGGTAAAAGTTTGAACAGGATTATTGATAAAACCAACGAGGGTTGGATTCAGGAAACACAGTGTACTGGTGAACTGGAAGAAGGAAGGGAAGTATCAGTGGTTAGTTCAGGATGCATGGGAACTTTAAACGATGACTTGAAGAGACAGAGAAAATGGGACTCATGTTAGTAGAGAAAACTTTCCTCCCAGAAACCAGTCGGTGTGGGTTTATCCAGAGGTAGAGACTTGTTGGAGGGCGGACAGGTATAGGTCTTGGTTTGACCCGGAGGAGCTATTGACCGGACTGTCACTTGGGAATCCAGGAGGACTTGAACAGAACTTGTGGAAGTTAATCCCCTGCTCAGTGTGAGACTCATACAATCCTTCCAGGGGGAGAAGGTCAAACATCCAGCTTGCAGGAAGGCTTCCTGCCGAAAAGGCAAAGACAAAAACAAGGTGAAGCTCGGCGAAAAACCAAAGACTCAGACTCAGCAAAATTCAGCTTGGCTAGAGTACCCAAAACTGGCAAACACTTTGGCGCCGAGGTAGTGACAGTCTATGGCTCAAATAGTCCTCAGCGATGAGCCAACCAGCCGCAGGTGTGTGGGAGAACCAACGGAAATAGGGCGCCACCTGGTGGTGGAGGGAGAAAACAACACAAAAACACAACCCACACAAACTGGATTTCTAACAGTCTGACCTGTAACCCAGAGCCTATTTGCCTTGAGAGACCCTATCAGGTTCATTCAAGCCCCCTAAAACATACAATTGCCTCTGGGATGGCAGTTCAAGGCTTTATTAGGTTTTGACCATAAAGGAATTTAAGTTCTACATTTTAATTTTCACTTCCATGTCTAAATCATGGGAATGCATGATGACGCAGTTTGTAGCACTGCTGCCATGCAGCAAAACGTTCCTTGGTTTTAATTCCTGTCTTAGGGTCTTCAGGCATGGAGTATGTATGTTCTCTACTTGCACACATAGCTTTTCTTCGGGTACTCTGGCTTCCTCCCACAGTCCAAAAACATGACTAATAAATTAACTTAGATGACTAAAAACATTTTTAAGTGGCATCTATCTATAAATTGTCCTTAGATGTGAGTGTGTGTGATTTCTTGGTCTCTATGTGCCCCTGCGGCAGACTGGCAACCAATCCAGAGTGTACCCTGCCTTTCGCCCATAAATTGTTGGAGATAGACACCAGGCCTTGTTCTGAGCCTTGACAGAATAATCTGGCTATAACTTGGACTCATCAGCAAACAGACAGTGGCGTTCTGAGGTCAAAAAAAGTATTTCTGGGCTCAAGTCAGGCAGACAGGAAATTCTAGATAACTTGTGTAATCAGGCTACCTCTGCTCCCACACTTCTGCCTATGATAGCTGCCGTGTCTACATCAACTTTTGTCAGATGAGTTTGTGAAGGACTTCGTCTATCTCCCCCTAAACTGTTTAAGGGTGATTCTGAGCAGTGTGGGGCTTTCCTTTCCGAGAAAAAGAACAGTATGCTGGGCATCTGTAGATACACAAGTCCGGCGAGATCCACAAGTCCGGCGAGAGCAGTCACAAGATGAAAACACATGTCATTGTAGTCAAACTTCATTGAGTAAACAACCACTTCTTCATGCATGGTTAAGCACTCTGAAAGGATTGTTAAAAAATCATTACAATTGTCTATTGTACTGCTGCCAGTTGTAGGAATGGCTTTAGATCAGCAAAAATAATATTTAATTATTGAAGGACCTGGTTTTGCATCAAATTTGGATCTGGGAAGTAAAAAGATTAGACACAAATTAACCAGGCAATCTGTGACATCCAAGCCGATACAGCAAACTATGTTCAGATCACATTGTGGCAGATTCTTTTATCATCAATCCTGCTCTCGCAGGATCAGTTGGATTCAATATACCAAAGTTGCAATGGCTTATTTTCTCTGTTCTATAGCTTTAATAAAGTGCCAAATGGCAATTAAGCTGATTCAAAGCATTGCCTATTTTTTTATGAAATAGAACAACCAACCCTGGCTTTTTTGGACTCCTGTCTTCTGTTCTTTTATTGTCAATTTCATTTGTTTTCATTTGTTCCTTATTTGGGCTGTTAGAGCCCAGGGGTTGGCATGGATGTGTCATGATCTTGGCACTGATGAATGAAATGAACAATCAAACTGGTCATCAGCACAAATTTCATCCTCTAAGAAATCCCTAATTTGGCCGAAGTTGTTCCTTGATGACATTAACTGTGGATTGTAGTATCACAGTATCCATCCTGTAAGTTAGAATAAACTTCCGTACTTTCTATTGGATAGAGTTTGTAAATCCCTTAAGAGTTTGATGAGGACATAAAACAATATGCACAGGGCTGATGTAGCCCAGAGCACTCACCTTTGGAAACAAGGGTTCGTCAGCAAAAAAAAAATAAAACTAAATAAATCTATCTAAGGAATCTCTGATATATTCTATATATTGGAAAAACTTAGCAGTGTGTCCTTTCATGTGAATTGCGCATCATGATAGCAGACCTTAGTATCAACATAAATGACACTTTGACTGAATTCAATGGCTGTTTTGAGATGAAACATTTTGATTATGAAGTAAGGACCTCTTATCCAGCTGTATGTGTAATATTATATGGTTTCCTAACTCTCTTGTCTCTTGTCACGGTGTGTGGAAACTTCCTTGTAATACTGTCTGTCATTTACTTTAAACAGATGCACACTCCTACTAACACTCTCATTCTGTCCCTGGCTGTGGCTGATCTGTTGGTTGGCATGTTTGTTTTCCCTCTCAGAATGTTTTTGTCTCTCAATGCGTGTATGTACAGGTATTATGTCAGTTTATTTTGTAAGATAAGGGACAGCTTTGATATACTATTTAGCCAATGCTCTATCATGCACCTGTGCTGCATTTCTGTGGACAGATATCACGCAGTGTGTCAGCCTCTAACATATAAATCTAAAATCAATGGTCGTGTTGTCTTCATCATGATTGCTTTGAGTTGGGGTGTTTCTGTGTTTATTGCCATCGCTGTGGTAAACAGTAGATTAACCAATGATGAATGTCAGGACATGTGTTTTATTGATGTGGTCATGACAAATATTGTAGCACCTTTATTAGCATTTTTCCTTCCTATTCTCATAATGCTTTGCATCTACCTGAAGATATTTGTTGTCGCACAGAGACAGGTACGAAGCATCCAAGCAAAGATGAAGCCTGGAGCAACTGTCAGTAAGATGGAGAGAAAAGCCACCAAAACTCTGGCTATTGTTTTAGGAGTTTTTGTGTTTTGCTGGGCTCCTTTCTTTCTTTTCCTAAGTTTTAAAACTGTTGGAAATGATTCAGCACCCGTTCATGTGATTGAAACAGTGGCTTGGCTTGGACTCGCAAACTCTACTCTGAATCCTTTTATCTATGGTTTCTTTTATAGCTGGTTCAGATCAGCCTTTAAAATGATTGTTTCTGGGAAAATCCTAAAAGGAGACTATATTAACCTGAAGTTGCATTGAACTTTAAGTTATTTTGTTGTTATTGTTTAATAAAATGACAGATATGTTTTTATGTCTATTCATGTTTTGTAAAATATCATTAGTCCAATGTCAGAATGAATCCAGAATCTGATTGAACACACTTGTCTAAAGTTTTTCTTTTAATTTATCAATGAGTAGAGAAACAGAATATGGTTTCCATTTTTCCACCTGTCTACATCAGGCATAATTTTCTTTTAATTGTGTTCCATCTATTTTTTTTCTTTATCTTCCTTTGTACATCTTTGTTTTTGGCTACTGCACAAAGACCCAATAATTTAAAAGGCTTTTGCTGATTCTCCAGAGCTTTTTTGAGGGGGCCTTTTCCGGGTTCGGTGCGCTTTGGTTCGCAGGCGGCCAGAAAGTATGCAACAAAAAATTGTGCTTTTGAGGAAATATTGTTTAGGATTCAACCCTATGATGGGACGAATTGATTCCTGTAAAGCTATTAAAGATGCTCAAATTCTTCCAGTTGCCTTTTTTTTAACCCTTTGCTTGTGTAAATGAATGTATCATTAGTTATTTGATCTGATTCTAAGTTATAATGTTTTGACTGTCAATTAGAACATGATAACTTAATATACTAGCTGAAAAGACTAATGTGTGTTGTTTTAAACAAAAACAGTATAATGGTGTAGTGAGTAAAAAGTTTGACTCTAGCAGGGTTGGATGAATAATAACAGTAAAAAGCTACCAGCTGACATACCTCATGCGCCTTGATTTCTTTCTCTTCATGGTTTGAACCACTCTATGTCTGACCTGTAACCCAGAGCCTATTTGCCTTGAGAGACCCGACCAGGAGCATTCAAGTCCCCTAAAACATACAATTTCCTTTAGGATGGCGGTTCAAGGCTTTATTAGGGTTTGGCCATAAAATACTTTAAGTTCTACATTTTATTTTCCGCTTCCATGTCTACATCATGGGAATGCATGGTGACGCAGTTTGTAGCACTGCTGCCTTGCAGCAAGACGGTCCTTGGTTTTAAGTCCTGTCTTAGGGTCTTCCAGCATGGAGTATGTATGTTCTCTACTTGCACACATAGCTTCTCTTCAGGTATTACGGCTTCCTCCCACAGTCCAAAAACATCACTAATAAATTAACTAACATGACTAAAAACATGGTTAAGTGGCATCTCTAAATTGTCCTTAGATGTGAGTGTGTGTGATTTGATGGTCCTTCGTGTTCCCCTGCCACAGACTGGCAACCTATCCAGAATGTACCCTGCCTTTCGCCCATAGATTGTTGGAGATAGACACCAGGCCTCCTGTGACCCTATCGGATAAGTGGAAGAAGATGGATGGATGGATATCTAAATCATGCTGAATATGCAGACAAAAAATCAACATTTAAAGAGTTTGGTATAACAGCATATAAACTTGACAGAAAGGCAATAACATCTGTAATAAGATTTTGTACTAAACCTTTTTCACTATTTTTTAGCACCCTGCCAAATCGCATTGCCAATACTTCTGACTGAAACACCCAACTTGTTTAACCAAAATTACTTTAAACCTAAATTTATGTATATTCAGCTTCTCAAAGTTAATGCAGAAACACTTTAGGATTACCCTCTCAAGGAATTTCATTCAAAGGTTCTCGTTCTTTGAGTCATGACCCAGAACTCATGACAGAAAGAACGAGATCCCAGATACATAGATAAAGGTAAAACAAGAGCTTTGGCTCACCTCTCTCTTTACCACAATGGACCGGTACAGTGCCTGCTTCACAGCAGGTGTTGCAACAATCCACTCTATCTTGCCCTAATTCATGAACAAGACCCCAAGATACTTAAACTCCTTTGCTAGGGGCAGTACATCCTCCCCAACCCGAAGAAGGCACTACCCTTTTATGGCTCAAGACCATGGGCTCAGATTTGGAGGCATTGATTCTCATCCCTGCTGCTGAGGCTAAAATTGTAGTTTTTGTCAAAAACTATTGCCAGCAGGACAAAGGAGGTCATAGTTGTTTACTATAGGTTCAGGCAAAATGAACATGCTTTCTGCATACATTGGAGAAGCACTAGAGCACTTGGACAGTTGCTTGGCATCCACATTTATTTTTACCTTTACTTGACAAAGAGCACCTCCAACCTGGTAGCCTATAGTAGAGCCAACAAGGGGTCTTGTTTTGCATGAATGAAACAGACTGGACCTTCACAAACCTTATAAGGCCAGAAGTAGAGGCATTCTGTTTCTCAGCATGGTAATTGTGCATGGCAAGGTAAAAGAAGTACCTAGTATAGGTGCTGAATACACCTATGCTAAGTCAAATCTTCTTGATGTTTGCTGGATGGTTGAAGCCAGAGGCGTACTTACTGTTCTAGCAATGGATTCTTTAATGTTGCTCTTTCCATGACCAATTTTTCCTCAACTTGAGAATGGTCAACAAGCTGGAGAAGGGGTTTCTTGTTGGTGAAAAGTGTGAGGAAAGGCTTAATGAAATCATTGCTTTAGTGAAGAATGGAAGGGATGCCACCAAGAGGAATAACTGTTTGGTTTGTGGAGTACTGTTTCTGGGGCTTGCGAGAGATGACTAATACTGTATATACGGATTAGAATCAGAGAGAAACATAAAATGCAATTATTAATTCTAACACCCCAAGAAATGTAAAAAATGTTTTTCCAATTGGTGTTCTACAAGTCGAGCAATATTCCTTTTTTTTTTTCACACAGAGCGAAGACTTAATACTCAGAAAATGGCATATTGCACCGTGTAGCATATTGACTAGGCCTAGATTCAGTAGACAGAATTTTTAATTTAGAAGGAGCACCTAGTTTAATCACTACTGACACCTGAACTGCTAAATAAATACAGATAAAAAATTAGGAGAGGTTGGTTTTATGACAAAAAAAGAACAATGTTTGACTGAGGAACAAATCTCCCATTGAAAGGTAATCCATGTAGTTACCTGATCATTACACTACATACAGCATTTCTTTAAAGTCAATACTCTATGACTTTAAAAAGAGAAGTAAATCTTTTGTCCAAGCTAAGGTGCTTATGAAATTTAAATTTTTATAACATGAGGCTGAAGTAGTAAACCAGTAAAGAAAAATATGAGGTGTATAAAACCAAATTAAGAAGTAGAGCTGTCAAAAAGTTTCAAAATGTAGCTGAAAATAAATATTTTGTCTTAATTTTGAATAAATAATGACATGATACATTCTGTGGTGTGTTTTAACTTAAAAAAAAATTTGGACAAGTTCACACTCACACTAAATGCGGTGTGGCTGCACTGTGGATGCAGCAAGGAACCCAAATCATTCAAATCAATGAGAACAATCACATCCACCATGGTGTAGCTTGGGGCTTTTCCTGAGACCATGAGTCTTAATAAGGTCATTTTGCAAGTTGTAGGATTGGTTAGATGGCCTAGCAGTCTCCACATCAACCTCCCTAATAGGAGAAGCAAGGTAACATACATAAAAAGTCCTTTTGATTTTTTAGAATAAAATCAACCCATCAGCCTAAGATAATGTGACAATTGTAAACAGAAAGGCAAAACAGTGTTATGCCAGCTTACCAGAAGATTATGAATGTATTAAATAACTAGAACTGGGAGTTATTCGAAGGACCTTGATTTGCATCAAATTTGGATCTGGGAAGTAAAAAGATTAGACAAAAATTAACCAGGCAATCTGTGACATCCAAGCCGATACGGCAAGCTATGTTCGGATCACATTGTGGCAGATTCTTTTATCATCAATCCTGCTCTCGCAGGATCAGTTGGATTCAATATACCAAAGTTGCAATGGCTTATTTTTTCTGTTCTATAGCTTTAATAAAGTGCCAGATGGCAATTAAGCTCATTCAAAGCGTTTCCTATTTTTTTATGAAATAGAACAACCAACCCTAGCTAGTTGCATAGTTTAGTATAGCCACAGCTCCAGATGGATTTCCATATCATTCTGGTCCGGGCTCCAGAACAACAAGAACCACGGTGGATGACGGTCAGTTAGTGCAGGCGGGGACCCACAGCTTGAACCCCACTGGCCGTGGTTAGCTGTTTTCACTTTTTTGGACTCCTGTCTTCTGTTCTGTTATCGTCATTTTCATGCCGTCGTTTTGTTTTCATTTGTTCATTTTTTGGGCTGCTAGAGCCCACGGGTTGGCGTGGTTGTGTGATGATCTTGTCACTGATGAATGAAATGATTAATCAAACCAGTCATCAGCACATTTCATTCTCCCTAGGAAACCCTAATTTGTCTGAAGTTGTTCCTTGATGACATTAACTCGGGGTTGTAGTATCACAGTATCCATCCTGTAAGTTAGAATAAACTTCCCTACTTTCTATTGGATAGAGTTTATAAATCCCTTAAGAGTTTGATGAGGACATAAAACAATATGCACAGGGCTGATGTAGCCCAGAGCACTCTCCTTTGGAAACAAGGGTTCGTCAAAAATAAAATAAAACAAATTAAATCTATCTAAGGAATCGCTAATATATTCTATATATTGTAAGATCTCAGCAGTGTGTCCTTTCATGTGAATTGCTCATCATGACAGCAGACCTTAGTATCAACATAAATGACACTTTGACTGAATTCAATGGCTGTTTTGAGATGAAACATTTGGATTATGAAGTAAGCACCTCTTATCCAGCTGTATGTGTAATATTATATGGTTTCCTAACTCTCTTGTCTCTTGTCACGGTGTGTGGAAACTTCCTTGTAATACTGTCTGTCATTTACTTTAAACAGATGCACACTCCTACTAACACTCTAATTCTGTCCCTGGCTGTGGCTGATCTGTTGGTTGGCATGTTTGCTTTCCCTCTCAGAATGTTTTTGTCTCTCAGTGCGTGTATGTACAGGTATTATGTCAGTTTATTTTGTAAGATAAGGGACAGCTTTGATATATTATTCAGCCAATGCTCTATCCTGCACCTGTGCTGCATTTCTGTGGACAGATATCACGCAGTGTGTCAGCCTCTAACATATAAATCTAAAATCAATGGTCGTGTTGTCTTCTTCATGATTGCTTTGAGTTGGGGTGTTTCTGTGTTTATTGCCATCGCTCTGGTAAACAGTAGATTAACCAATGATGAATGTCAGGACATGTGTTTTATTGACGTTGT